CCATGGCGGGAGCGCGCTTACCTATGAGCTCTATGGCCCGGGGCAGCTTCTCGCCGCCGCGCGTCTCGGCGCGGGACAGCAGCGCGGCGTCCTCCTTCTTCTCCAGCCCCAGCTCCCTGCAGCGGCCGCGGCACGTGGTGGGGGAGCCCGGGGGCTCAGTGCGCCCGTCGGCGGGGCTGGCCCGGCCCTCGGCATCGAGGCCGCGCTCCGGCCAGGCAGGGTTCCGCGGCAGGAGCGGGAGGGCGGGTAAGGCGTGGCGGGAGAAGGCCGGGGACTCGGGCACCGGCACGGTGAGGAAGCGCGTGGAGGGCGCCGGCGAGGGCGCGCGGCTGCTCCCGGCCGCGCCCACGGACTTCACGCGCACGTCCACCTGCAGTTCCACCGGCGCCCAAGCGCCAGGCTGCTGCTCCCCTGGCGCCAGCTCGGCCCCCGGCGCCTCGCCGGCCTGGGGCTGCTCCGCCGCGGCGGGGCCGGGCGACGGCGGCTCGGAGCCCGCGGACGCCTGGCGGCGGAAGGCGCCGTAGCCCAGGCTGGGTGGCGGCAGCCTCAGGAACGCCGGGCGGGGCGGGGGCTGCTTCTTCCCGCCGGCGAGGTCCTGGCCCGCGCCCGCCGCCACCTTGACGGCCGGGACCAGACACAAGCTGCCCTCGGGACTCTCAGGCCGGCGCTCGCCGGCAGAGACCTGAGGCTGCTGCGGCTCCGCGACCTGGCTCCCCAGCGGGTTCATGGAGAACTCGGCCTGGTCTCCTTCCGATGCCGCCTGGGCCCGCTCCATCACGCGAGCCAAGCAACCGAGAGACGCAGAGCGGAACGCACCTGCGCCCAGGTACGGAGCTACCTGCCCCTCCCCGGTCTGGATTGGTCCAGCCTTTAAAATTGTTTTCAGACCACGCCCCCTCCTGTCCCCCCGCCCACCCCAAGTACCCCGCTGGGATTGGCTGTGGCTAGGACTGTTGGCCACGCCTCTTTAGGCTACCAGAGCCTCCCTCACCTGGCACCGGAATGGAGCGGGGCAGAGGACCCTAGCGGACGGGTAACCCAGAAGGACTGGGAACAGAGACAGAAGGAAGAACGCGGAGCCACGCCTGACTCCTCCCTCTTCTTTGCACCCAGTCCCACGGCCCTCTGCCATTGCGCTGACTTTGAGGGTTACAGCTTTGCGCTGAGAGTGGCTGGCCAAGCCTATGAGAGATCCTGGGACTTCGAAAGATCATCGGTGCACAGGAAATTGGGCAGCGTGAGGAAAAGTAGCAGAGCAGGTTGTCCTGACAGTGTAGTGGGGGAAGGAGCACCACACCCGAGAGAGCTCCGCCACAGCAGAAGTCCCAGGGACTGCTACTCTGAAGGCCTGACTCCTACTGGTTTAACTCATTCAACACTGATGGATGAACGAGCATGAATGTGTGTTTTTCACGGAGAGAGAAGCCTGGTCCCCAGGAAGCCTGGTGTGGCGCAATACAAGGTGCCCAAAGCTGGCTAGTGATCTGAATACCATTTAAAAATACATATATTCCCGACTGGGCTCCACCCAGACTTACTGAATCTCCTAAGGGGATGATGCCACTTTTAACAAGTGCCCTAAGGTAAAACTGACAAATAAAAGCCACTCTGTTAAATCTGAATTTCAAAAAAACAAGAGTTAGGTTTTTAGCATAAGTATATCCCAAGCACTGTGTGTCCATTTAAAAATTATTCATTACCTGAAATTAAAATTTAATCTGCCTCCTATATTTTTATTTGCTACATCTAGGCAACCTTACCCCAAGGACTTATACTGGATTGGTCTTAGGAGCAACATCTGGAAAGACCAGGTACTTGTTACTCCTAGGGGAGAGGGAAGGAAGGAGGATGTGGATGAGGGATGCTAGGAAGGGATGCTGTCCCCCTCCCCCAGGACAAGTAATTGAGACAAAAGGTCCAGTGGAAAGAAAGGGCTATATGCAAAAGTTATGTTTACGGGCTCTTGAGTGGCTCAGAAGGTTAAGCATCCAACACTTGATTTTGGCTCAGGTCATGATCTCATGGTTCATGAGATCTAACCCTACAGCACAGAGCCTGCTTAGGATTCTCTCTCTCTCAAAATAAATAAACTTAAAATATATATGTTATGTTTAATCCCTTCAAAAACCAAGACCATATATTTAATGTGGGGACATATTCATGCATGAAAATACATTTTAAAAGATGTGAAATGATATGCACCAAAGTGGTAATAGTGGGTTCTGCTGTAGATTGTTTGGGGAGACAGTCTAGTAGACTTTAATCTTACCTATAATCTTTCTACTTTCTAAAAAGAGAATGTATGCATATTCTTGAATAAAAATCCATTTTTACAAAGATGGCATACTGTAAGGTTTTTTAGAGCTGAAGATTACTATAAAAATTAAACTAATGCAGATGTATATAAAATATTATTTTTGTAAAATTTTTAAATTTATTTTTAAGAGGGAGCAAGACAGAGTACTAGCAGCGGAGGGACACAGAGAGAGAGAGACACTGAATCTGAAGAAGGCTCCAGACTCCGAGCTATCAGCACAAAGCTCAGAACCTGACACGGGGCTTGAACTTGCGAATTGGGAGATCATGACCTGAGCTAAAGTCAGATGCTCAACAGACTGAGCCGCCAGGCACCCCAGAAGTGTATAAAATATAAAGGAAAGGTCTCTACCCTCTTTTTCCCCTCTCAGAGGTAGCCACTGTCCCTGCTGAGATTGGTTGCTTGTCCCAGTTTAGAGTGACCTGGGGTAAGAGAGGAGCACCCTGACTTTGCTTTGCTGTTTACACACCTTCTCCTGGAATGATGATTATCAAATAGCTTATAACCTCAAGCGTCTCTAATGTCCCAGGTGTTTGGGCTCAGAGTCAGTTAGGAAAATACAATGTGCTTCACATTTAGACATGCTCCCATGACCTTGTCGGAGATACCCCCCAGGCCTGGCTCCCCTGGCCACAGCCCACCCCACTGGACTGGGCTCCTGACTCAGAGGCACTCAAGGGCATCTAAATTCCACCTTGAATTTGAACCGTGGTTGGCACGGGCATCAACGGTGCCAGAGGTGGGGCCATCACCGGCTGCAAGAAGTACGAGCAGAAGGTGCAGTGGACTTAAGATGCGGTCATGGCCAGACCCTCCCACCTGTCTTCTTCTTCTTCTTTTTTTAATAGTTTATTGTCAAGTTGGTTTCCATATAACACCCAGCGCTCATCCCCACAAGTGCCCTCCCCCACGCCCATCATCCCACTTCCCCTCCCCCCCACCCCCATTAGCCCTCAGTTCTCAGCATTCAAGAGTCTCTCATGGTTTGCCTCTCTCCCTCTTCCCCACTATTTTCCCCCCTTCTTCTCCCCTACGGTCCTTTGTTAAGTTCCTCCTAATCCTCCTATACGTGCAAACATATGATATTTGTCCTTCTCCGCCTGACTTATTTCGCTCAGCATAACACCCTCAAGGTCCATCCATGTTGCTACAGATGGCCAGATTTCATTGTTTCTCATTGCCATGTAGTATTCCATGGTATAGATAAACCACATCTTCTTGATCCATTCGTCCGTTGATGGACACTTAGGCTCTTTCCATGTTTTGGCTATAGCTGAGAGTGCTGCTATGAACATTGGGGTCCATGTGCTCCTATGCATCAGCACTCCTGTATCCCTTGGGTAAATTCCTAGCAGTGCTATTGCTGGGTCATAGGGGAGTTCTAGTGTTAATTTTTTGAGGAACCTCCACACTGTTTTCCAGGGGGGCTGCACCCGTTTACATTCCCACCAACAGTGTAGGAGGGTGCCCGATTCTCCACTCCTCGCCAGCATCTCTTCTCCCACCTGTCTTCTGTCTGCTCTTGTGGGCAGTCGCACTTTCATTTTGCAAACACTCACCAAGCAGGGTGCCGAGCCTGTGGGTAGACAGCGTTGGCACATTCAGGGGCAGTGGTGCCATGATGATCTCTTCCCCTTTAATCTCTCCCTTTCTACTGGTTCTTCCCCATCAGCTGTAAACATGAGCAGGTTGTAAAGGCCTCCTAGGACCCTATTTCCTCCTCAAGCTAACACTCTTTATTTCCTCCTTGCACAACCAGCCTTCCTTAACACTCACTTTCTCATTGCATCTCATCCCGAGCCCCCCTTAAACCACTGCAGTGTTTCTTCTCCCACGAGTCTGGGAGAAATTTTCCTGGCCAAGGGCACCACACATCACAACTCCAGCAGATTTCTTCAGTGCTTGCTTGCTCTCTCAGAAGCCGCACATCTGTGGCTTTCCTGACACTGCACTCTGCTGGTTTTCTATCTGCTCCCAGAGGCTTCTAACTGTCCATTAGGTCACTGGCTCTCCAGCCCAGATCTTTCTCTGGATCTTGACCACACAGGTAAGCTATGGGTTGAATTTTGTCTCTGCAGCCTGCCCTGCCCCAAATTCATTTGTTAAAGTCTTAATCCCCAGAGCCCCAGAATGCGACCTCATTTGGAATTAGGGCAGTTACTGGGATGACGTCATATGACTAGTGTCCTTATATAAAAAGGGGAGATTTGGACACAAACACACACACAGGGAGAACGCCGTGTGAACATGAAGGCAGGGATCAGGGTGAAGTGCCTACGAGCCAGGGAAGGCCAAAGATTGCTCGCAAACCACCAAAGCTAGAAGATAGGCCTAGAACAACTTCTTTTCCCACAGACCTCAGGAGGAACCAGCCCTACCAATGCCTTGACCTTGAACTGCCTGCCTCCACAACTGTGAGAGAATGCGTTTTGTCCTCGAGCTTCTCAGCCTGTTACTTTGTTACTGCAGGCAGCCCCTGCAAACAGGTCACCCGTGGCTGCCTGCCCTGGGCCATGGCAGGATGCAGGTGGTCTCTGGGCCCCACCCTTTGTCACCTCGAACAGCTGTGCCAATCAGATTCTCCCTCTCGGGAATCTGGCACTTGATCTGAGAGACCCAGGGCTGGGAGGTGTCACAGCTCCGGGAGGGCCGCTCCCACAAACTCCTCTTCAGGCCCCTGCAATTTCTCTGGTTTCACCCCTTCCTAAAGCTTGACTGTCCATTTCTGTGGATGTCATGTGACCCTGGAGTCTTTCCCCTACCTCCCTTTTTTTTAATCTTGAGTTAGCATGTATCATTTACCACTCTAACTGCAAGTAGCAGAAACCCCAATTCAACCACCAGCTGCGTTGGGCCCCGTGGGGCTCCCATGGGGTGAGGCCCAGGCTTTGGAGGAGTCTCCATTGCACCTTCAATGGCAGAGCCAAGAGCTTTGTCAACAGAAGGCCATTTACGGGACACCTGGGTGACCCATGGGTTAAGTGTCCAACTCTTGATTTCGGCTTAGGTCATGATCTCATGGTTTGTGAGATCAAGCCGTGTCAGGTTCTGTGCTAACAGAATGGAGCCTGCTTGGGATTCTCTCTCTCTCTCTCTCTCTCTCTCTCTCTCTCTCAGCCTCTCCCTGGCTCGTGCTCTCTCTCAAAATAAATAAACTTAAAAAAAAAAAAAGGATGTGGTGAAACGGGCACCCTCCTACACTGTTGGTGGGAATGTAAACTGGTACAGTCCCTCTGGAAAACAGTGTGGAGGTTCCTCAAAAAATTAACAATAGAACTCCCCTATGAACCAGCAATAGCACTGCTAGGAATTTACCCAAGGGACACAGGAGTGCTGACGCATAGGGTCACATGTACCCCAATGTTCACAGCAGCACTCTCAACAATAGCCAAAACATGGAAAGAGCCTAAGTGTCCATCAAGTGACAAATGGATCAAGAAGATGTGGTTTATCTATACAAGGGAATACTACATGGCGATGAGAATGAATGAAATTCTGGCCATGTGTAG